AAACTAGTCAATTCTCCCTTCAATGAACCCCTATATATATATAGGCCTAATCAAATGAGAACTGATTAATTTGTGATAACTGTGAGGTCCAATCTTATTTTTTTAATTTGAAAAATCACCAATGGAATATATTTTATTTTTAATTAAAACAAATTTAATCAGTAATTTTTTTTAAAAAATTAAAAAATCTCTAACAGATTATTTTTTATTGTTAATTAAAATAAATTTCATCAATAATTTTTTTAAAATATAAGTACTATTTTGGTATATTTGTTTTATTTTATAGTTGTAAGTATTTTTTTGTTCAAAAAATATTTATGAACTTAATCATTCAAAATATGGAACTTCATTGATTTTTGTTGATTATTTTACCACATTAACTAATTGTACATAAGAATATATCTAACAAGTTTTACAAGGTCCAATAAGTTATTTAACAGGTTTTGAAATATTCAAAAACTTGTTTATTTCAAAAAATTATCTAACAACTTAATAATTCCAAACACTAAAATTCGTTACGTTTTTAGACTTTTCCCTAAAATAATATAATAAAATGTTCCACATTTTCCACAAAACTCCACTAATCTCGTATTCTATAACCATCATCACATAAAATGTCATTAATGACTATGAGTGGTGGAAGAAGATTTTTGACTTTCAACCGTCAAAAAGTTAAATTCACATTGCATTTTCATCATATAATTTTTTAAATGGAAAAATCTAAAAAAACTCAATGGATTTTAGTATTTGTAATGATTAAATTATTGAACAATTTTTTGGAACAAATAAGTCTTTGAACATTCCAAAACCTGTTAAATAAATTTTTGGACTTTTTAAAACATGTTAGATACATTCTTATAACCTATATAACTGATTAATGTGATAAAATAAGAGAAAAAACCTGGAAAAAAAACCAATGAACTTTCATATTTTCAGCAATTAAGTCTTTAAATATTTTTTGAAACAAAAAAGTAATTACATATATAAAATGAAACACATATACCAAAAAAAGTACCTACATTTAAAAAAGATTATTGATGAAATATATTATGATTAAAAATATAAAATATTTTGTTAATGGTTTTCCAAATTAAAAAAAATAAAAAAAGAATTT